GGGTCTAGCCTCCACTGCAGTGCTTGCATGGGTCTAGCCTCCACTGCAGTGCTTGCATGGGTCTAGCCTCCACTGCAGTGCCTGTATGGGTCTAGCCTCCACTGCAGTGCTTGCATGGGTCCAGCCTCCACTGTAGGGTCTACATGGGTCTAGCCTCCTCCGTACACGCGCATAATACGCAATGAAAAATATTTCGAAGTTCATAAAGTCTACGGATGAAAAACTCCGAATTATGAGACTGGTAGAAGATACACTATACAGTACAACACAGTACAACACAGTACAACATAGTACAACACAGTACAACACAGTACAACATAGTACAACACAGTACAACAACACAGTTCAACACAGTACAACACAGTATTACGCAATTCAATATAGTTTGATGAATCAATAAAATTTCGTAACCTGTAAAATTTTGGCTAAATTTGTTGCTGCTTGCGATATCGAGAGCTGCGGTAGATTTTTTGAAAGAAACAGGTAATCGTTTTATTAGACGCCACTACTAGACGCCACTAGTAGTGGCTGCCAGTACACGTCAATAGTAGACACCACCAGTAGTGGCTGCCAGTAGACATCACGACTAGACACCACCAATAGTGGCCGCCAGTAGACATCACTACTAGACGCCACCATGCAGTAGTGGCTGCCAGTAGACATCACTACTAGACGCCACCATGCAGTAGTGGCCAGTACACGTTAATAGTAGACGCCAGCATGCAGCAGTGGCCGCCAGTAGACGCCACTACTAGACGCCACCAATAGTGGCCGCCAGTAGACATCACTACTAGACGCCACCATGCAGTAGTGGCCAGTACACGTTAATAGTAGACACCAACATGCAGTAGTGACCGCCAGTAGACGCCGTTAGCACCACATGTGCACCACCGCAACAGCAAGAGTAGCAGCACATAACAGCAGGACAAGTAAAACAATACAACACAACAAGAACAACAACAAAACCTCAACAACTTAACAAGAACTACAACAACTTAACAAGAACAACAAAAAATTAACAAGAACACCAACAACTTAACAACAACAATAAAACTTAACAAGAACAACAAAAACAAAACAACAACTTGACAAGAACAACCAAACAATAACTTAACAAAAACAACAAAACAACAACTTAGCAAGAACAAAAACAAAACAATAACTTAACAAGAACAATAAAACAAAAACTTAAAAAGAAGTAAAACGAAACAACAACTAAGCAACAACTCAAAACTTAACATGAACAACAACAACTCAAGAAGAAGAACAACTTAACATGAAGAACAACAACTCAAGAAAAACAACAACTTACCAAGAACAACAACTCAAGAAGAACAACAATTTAACAAGAACATGAACAACTCAAGAAGAACAACAACTCACCAAGAACAACTTAAAAATAACAAAAACAAAACAAAAACTTAACAAGAACAACAATAACAAAACAACAACTCAACAAAACAACAACAACAACACCAGCAACATTACAAGCCTCTCACCTTTGATTGAGTTACATTTCTTATCGACGACGGATGGCGCTCTGGACGTGGGTGTAGGGGTAGAGCTGGTCGGCGTGGTCGTGTCTGCCATATCGCGGTTCCGGTCTTCATTTATACCCGCTAATATTTCGTTAATAAGATCTCTGTCCGCCTTGCGGTCCAAAAGTCCCATTTTCGGAGCGGATATATTGTGTAGGGGAGGGATATTAGAGGCACTTCGGTCCGAGGACATTTCATCCAAAGAGAAATCCTCGCAGGTCTCTAAAAAAGAGCGATTACTGTCATAGCCTGAGCTGGGGTTGGACGAATGGGGTTGTTGGTGTAGGGATCTGTCAGGTTGGGATGTGTTGGGGCAATTTAGGGGAGGTGAGGTTAAATTAGGGATGCTGGTGATGTTCAGTAAACTAGGGCCACCTATATTGCTAGAGGAGGAACCACCAGCACTGAAACATGCGCCCAATAAGCTGGGGGTGGTCGTGGACAACTGGGATTCTTGTTGCTGGGTCTTGAACTGGGGGTGAGGGTTTAGGTGTGTCATGTTACCCATCATGTCGTCATCCTGGGAGTCGGGATCACTCATGTTGTTCATGTTGTTGGGGTCATTCATGTTGTTCAGGTTGTTGTGGTCATTCATGTTGTTCATGTCACTCATGCTGTCAGTATCCTGCAGCACTCCGCTCACCCGCAGCAGTCCTGTCGTGTCCAAGTCTAAACCCGTGTCGTCCATGCCGACTCTTAAATATTTAACTATAATTTAATATACCTTAATTTAAGTATGATAAAACTCAATTATATTGCTGATGACCGGATCCCTTCATTCCATTACGCTTGTCGAGTTTTTTCTTCCAATATTGCAGTGGCACTGAGTTATCCTTATCGAATTTTTCAGTTCACTGTTCAAATGTTTATTTCAAATGTTTGTGTAGTTACAACTCAAACATAGTTCATGTTAACACTTTGTTAACTCACCCGCCCATCGAAGGAAAATATACTCTTGCTCTAACGAACTAACCACGACAATAACAAATTTATTAAAAACACAGATGCTTTCAAATTATATATCAATTTTACAGGATAATGTATTGGGCATTTTCTCGCCTTGCCGATTGGGCTATCGTATAATGCGATCTGTTTTATTTTAATTAGAACAAATTAATTGTTCTGTTGAAGAACCGTCCTGAGTCTAGTGACGTCACTCTATGTTAATATAGCGGTTCTTTTGCTTTCACTTAATTGTTACTAGTTTCAGTTACAGTCACTCAATGGTTACAAAGTTACGTTGTTCTCACTTATAGTTGTAATGATTGCAATTTCCAATTTTTGTAACTCAATGGTTAGTAGTTTCAATGGCTCCTGCCGAATGGTTGCTTCTGTTTCTGTACTTAATGGTTGCTAGTTTCTGTTACTTAATGGTAGCTAGGTTCAGTTTCTGTCACTTAATAGTTGCTATTTTGAGTTCAGACCCAGATTTGTGATACTAGTTTACTAGTTTACGCACCAAAACGCAGCTCCATGTCACTGGACTATATATCGGTCAATGGTCTAGTGTTCCCCGTACGGAACAGTTGTTATTAACATCACTTCGTAAACATTAAGCATGAAGCTCACAATTATATATCAATAATATAAATAAATGTGGTAGATTTTCAGTTCCATATCTAGGAAATGACTAACACACTCTGGTTTGTTCTAAAGGAGTTCACGCGAGGTTCACATGAGAGAAAAAAGCTAAACTGTTCACCTGTGGACAATAAATATAATTTAATTTATTAATTTAATTTAAGAGTATATATAGTATAGTAAAATCAAGGCTTACGTGGATAACTTATAGATAAGTAAAGCTATAAGGTATAGCGGCTCAATAAGAGCTTGTACAATTGTACAGATGTGCTGCAGCAGTCGTGTGTTGCGACACAAGGTGTGCAGAACTACACAGGCAGTGTACAGACATGTACAGTGTACACACATGAGCAGTGTACAGACATGTACAGTGTACAGACATGTACAGTGTACACACATGTACAGTGTACACACATGTACAGTGTACAAACATGTACAGTGTACAGACATGTACAGTGGTCACACATGTCCAATGTATAGAATAGTACACAGGACACAATTGTACATGCAGGTACAATGCGTAGAATGTTAGCGTAAATACAGAACGTCCACACATGTACTCTGTACACTCATTGTACACAAGTGTACCCATGTTCCCTTTGTGTGGCGGTATTGCACAAGATTATTTAACACNATTTATCTTTCGAAGTTAGCGTATCAGTAACAGAATCGATTGGTCAACTAATCTAATAAACGGAAATTGCAAATATCAAATCAAAGACAATAACTGAGCAGTTCAAGTTGAATTTGGTTTAGGTTGAAGGTTTAAAATAAGGCCCAATTCTTCAGTAATTGCATTGTAGTGCGAAGTACAACAAATAAAATAACCAAAATAACTGTATAGTGGGCAGATATGAATATATATGTTTATATGGCAAAGATTAACATATTAGTTCAACGGTGTTTGTTCAACAGTAATGCCCCGTGAATAACTCCTGTTGTACATAAGTTGTATATATACTTTTACGTGTTATATAACTTGTTGTACACTTATACTTGTTGAATAAGTACGGCAGTACTGTGACCACACATAATACGGCAGTACTGTGACCACACATAAGACGGCCGTACTGTGACCACACATAAGGCGACCGTGTCTCACAGTACTGGCTACCGCCGCCTCAGAACTGAGCGGCCGTACATGTTGTAACATTGCGGTCAAGGTTAAACTTAACCTCGCCGGTTACGTTCATAAGGTCAACCTGGCCGGTTAAGGTTAGTTACGTAAGTTCTCACGGTTACACAGGTACAGGGTTACACAGGGCACACGGTTACACAGGGCACACGGTTACACAGAGCGCACGGTTACACAGGGCGCACGGTTACACAGGGCACACGGTTACACAGGGCGCACGGTTACACAGGGCGCACGGTTACACAGAGCGCACGGTTACACAGGGCGCACGGTTACACAGGGCGCACGGTTACACAGGGCGCACGGTTACACAGGGCGNCACCCATAAGGCAGCCGTACTGTGGCCACACTTAAGGCGGCCGTACTGTGGCCACCCATAAGGCGGCCGTACTGTGGCCACCCGTAAGGCGACCGTACTGTGGACACCCGTGAGTCGACCAGACTGTGGCCACCCGTAAGGCGACCGTACTGTGGCCACCCATAAGACTGCCGTACTGTGGCCACCCGCAAGGCGGCCGTGCTGTGACCACCCATAAGGCGGCCGTACTGTGGCCACCCATAAGACGGCCGTACTGTGGCCACCCATAAGGCGGCCGTACTGTGGCCACCCATAAGACGGCCGTACTGTGAAAAATAAGAACACGGCCGTACTGTGGCCACCCGTAAGGCCTGTGGCCACCCTTAAGGCGGCCGTAGTGTGGCCACCCATAAGGCGGCCGTGCTGTGGCCGCCCTTAAGACGGCCGTACTGTGGCTACCCATAAGGCGACCGTGCATCACAGCACTGGCTACGGCCGCCTCAGAACTGAAGCGGCCGTACATGTTGTAAGTAGCGACATGAGGTTGCAAGTGACAAGTAACATTGCGGTCAAGGTTAACTTAAGCTCGCCGGTTACGTTCATAAGGTCAACCTGGCCGGTTAAGGTTAGTTACGTAAGTTCTCACATAGGGTATAAGGTAGGGTATAAGGTAGGGTATAAGGTAGGGTATAAGGTAGGGTATAAGGTAGAGTATAAGGTAGGGTATAAGGTAGGGTATAAGCCTATAAGGTAGGGTATAAGGTAGGGTACAAGGTAGGGTATAAGGTAGTGTATAAGGTAGGGTATAAGGTAGGGTATAAGGTAGGGAACAAGGTAGGGTACAAGGTCAAAAAGAATGACCCCAACCCGATTTCGTGGTTACGACTTCCGTAGACTTTTATGTTCTGAAACTTGGATTTACGTCCCGTAGAGTTCACGATAATTTTCTCATATTACAAGCTATACCTAGCAGGACTGTGTACGCATTACAAGCAAAATTACATATAATTTTGGAAAATTACGATCATTTTATTATTATATTAAATAATATTATCTCTTTTTGTTTAACTATTTGCTGTATGAGTAAACTTAAGCAGAAAATTAGTCGTAATTGATTGAAAATATTTATTAACATAATTAACGGCTTGCTCTCACTCTCTGTATAACGCTATCCCCCCTCTGTATAACGCTATCCCCCCTCTGTATAACGCTATCCCCCCTCTGTATAACGCTATCCCCCCTCTGTATAACGCTATCCCCCCCTGTATAAGGCTATCCCCCCTCTGTATAACGCCTGTCTCTTATACACATCTAGATGTGTATAAGAGACAGGTATAAGGTAGGGTATAAGGTAGGGTATAAGGTAGGGTATAAGGTAGGGTATAAGGTAGGGTATCTGTCTCTTATACACATCTAGATGTGTATAAGAGACAGGGTGTTCCGTTATCTCACTGTTTCACCGCCTGATCACAAACGGTGCTGGTCGTGGCACACATTCCAATTCTTGACCGACAGTCGCATAACGGTTACAGCAGCAGCAGCAGCAGCAGCAGCAGCAGCAGCAGCTGCAGCTGCAGCAGCTGCAGCAGCAGCTGCAGCAGCGGTCACACGCACCAGCAGCAGAGTTCACTTCACGTCTGTATGGAGACTTGATTTAAAGTTTTGCACTTCATGAGCTTTTTTTGAAGGTACTAATGCAATAGCATCGTTGATGGAAATAAAGTGTTGGGCGGAAGAAGAGTAGCAAGATACGTGGTGCAAGTGTAGGGGGGGCGAGGGGGTGGGGGAGCACCACTGCTCAGAGGGCAACGACCGCTCTTGCCCCGACTCTCCCCCTCCGCCGCCACCTCCATTGATCATTGCATGCAATCTTCAGCTTTTCAGCATTTATGTAATTAATTACTTCCATTTACGCATCGTTTCCTTCAATTAATATTCTAATATGTTGTATAACATATATAAAATTGCTTAAATAACTCTATTTTATCCGTAAACAAAGTTAAAGAGACGAAAAGAGCTGAGACACGGAGAGTTGGAGGTGGCAACGTGTGGGTGCGTTCGTACGTACGTGCACAGCTCGGCTGGAGTCAGGTGAATGAACTCTGAGTGTCAGTGTACGGTACTACTGTCACACTTTCCGAGATATTCCTGTAACACTGACATTAAAGCGTGTTCTTAGACGCGTTTGAGCAAACAAATAACTGCATGACATTGGTTAACTGATTATTTGAACGTTTCAGTTGAATCTATGAAGGAAAGAGAGCAGCGAACGAAGTTATGGAGTTGACGCCATTGCTGTAGCGAGACTCACCAGCTAGGCTCCATGCACGCTTCCTAACTCATTATTGCAACCCTACTGAATTACTAGTCCTTTGTAACACGCGTATTCCTCTAAAACTGAAGAAGAACCCATAAGAAATGCATGTGAGGCCTCTTCAATGAGAGACTCGGACCAAGTAGCAGCTTTTGGCACTCCTACGTCGCTCAGAGGTTATTGCTCTCGCTCTCTCGGTCACCGACATCACAACAAAACTTTGCTCAATACTCGTGCGTCGCTCGTCCTACCTTTCTTCGCACGTAGAAATACACTCAACGTGTTGTTGATATGCCAGAGAAATATCTATTTTACATGATAATATCACGATTGCTGCATTCCTCGGCAGATTTCTTACCAGTTCACTAAACTCGCCGCCCTCTACTACGCCACTAGTCGGGCAAGGTCGTCCCCAGTCGGACTATTAGGCAGCTCAATTCCTGAGGAAATTGACTAATACAATGAAATTCCCCTCCATCGAGGGCAGTAGAAAGCTTTTCCAGAAGTAATTAATACCTACGCGCATAATTTTATATTCTAATTAATAACACACAGAATAAGTAAACTACCGATTAATATTGTAAATAATCAAATAAGCGCAATTTTCGTCATGATGAACTAACGAGAATGACACCCGTCACCAGAATTACACATACAGCGAGGAAAATGTTACCCGTCGCGCGCGGCAGTCGTGTAGATGCAGCAGAAGGCTGCTGGTGCAGACAAGCTCCGTTACTCCAACGAATAAAAAAAACACACACAGCTTCTGACTTCACAGCGTAGCGGCAATTGCGGCTGCCAAAAATACACTTATAATGATTACCAGTGACGATTTTTAGGGTACTTTTTAATCGCCAGTCGAATAAACACCGCGATTGTACTATATTAATTTGACACACGACAACAATAACCGTAAATGCTTATACAATTACCGTAAATTATCGACTACAAAATAACCACACACCCCAAAAAATTTTATGAAAATTAATATACAGTTTTGCACTTGTTGATGGCAAATATAATGGGTTGTGAATCATCGACACTGTCTATTACCAAAATTAAAATCACAATCCAGACACAATAATTAATATTAACTGCAAAGCGAGTAAATGTTGCACGATTCCCAATTTCCCGGTCGCAAAACGTGCTTCAAATACTAAACAAAGGACACCGGTAATTAAGAGGGTAATGTATATAGAGCACTGTTTGTAGCTCAATTCGTTATCATGCGATTACTAGCACAGCACAAGACAGAGATGAACTGTCGCCGCCACGACGCGATGTTGACACTACAACCATCACCGACTAACTGCGCTGGCGGGTGCGCGACGCCCTCCTCCCTCCGGTCATTCTCATGCACCACCACTACACC